TATTTATTATATATTACCTCACCTCTCCCTTCGCCTCTCACTCTACCCCTTCCCTTTGAACTCTCCTTCCTTACCTCTTATTCTTATCATTCTCTCCTACCTCTCCCCCCCCACCACCACTTGTTCCTACCTCCCCCTACCTTAACCCCTCAACATACCTCCCTACCAATCATCCCCTCCCCCTCCCCCCCCTACTACCATCAATCCACGTCATCAACCCCGACATACGAAATCATGAAGATAGCAGAAGGCAGAACGAGAAGAAGGAAAGAGAAAAGGGGAAAGTAGTTTGACGGGAGAGGAAACGAGGGGGCTGATTGAGAGTCGTGGACAGGGACCAAGTGAGGGAAGAGCTCGGTCCTTAAATGAGGGGAGACGACTGTAATGGCGTCGTGGACCTGAGATCTACAACGGTCAGTTGAGGGAGAGAGAGAGAGAGAGAGAGAGAGAGAGAGAGAGAGAGAGAGAGACAGAGACAGAGACAGAGACAGAGAGAGAGAGAGAGAGAGAGAGAGAGAGAGAGAGAATGTTTATATAAATATCTAGCAATAACATCACATGCAAATTCCATTAGTGCTTCAAACATACCCGTAACGGCATCTGAACTACCAAAACAATCACCAACTCCCACCACAATCACCACTACAACCACCTCCACAACCACCACAATCACCACCACACTCACCACCACAACCACCACAATCACCACCACAACCACCACAACCACCACAACCACAACCACCACCACCAACAGAGACCACTCCAGATTTAGGTGCTTCGTCCAGTAGGGCAGAGATTGCGATGGGTAATTAGAGACCAGAGATTACATCACCTACAGGTGTGTAAACACCTGTCGGAGCTTAATTATTGGCGCGGAGATCCCGCATCCTAGCCATCATAGTCTGGTGGAACTACTTTCACTACAAGTTAAAGAAACGGCCCAATTATTTCTGGCTCGCCCGGGAATCGAACCCGGGCCCGTGAACTGCGAATCCTGGACGCTGTACGTGCGTTGACAGACGTTCCCTTTTAACCATGTCGTAGCTCAGTCGATTAAGGCAGCGTCGGGGAACCTCTCAGACGTAGGTTCGAATCCTCTTCACGGCCCTTGTGGATTTGTTCATATCATAGGCTTATTAACTGCTGGATTTTGTATAGCTCTTTCTTTCCCTAATTACAATTATATAATTGCCTAATCCAGAATTGAAATATTATCTGGAGCAATAAAAACAATGTTACTTAATTTTTTTAAAGCCACCTTGAAAGAAAACTATGATAGAAAACGGGAATGTGCATACAAAAACAGAAACCTTGCATAAAAATAATGAAACACAAAAAACGGAAATCCGCCAACAATTTCAGGGGAGACTTTGGTATGTCTTCCGTGTGGAATGTTGACATTCTTTGTAAATAGCGAGGGTAGCGGCGTTGGGCGCTTAGCCCCAAGTATTGGCGGCACCCGGTGTCACCCAAGATTGATGCGTCTGGGGGAATATATATAGGTTAATGCCCTCGGATTTTTGGCGAAAGAATTTATGGTATCATATATTCTTTTGCTTCTTGATTAATGGTTGTTTGGGGTTTAAGAAGCAGCTTAGAAGCTTAAGATTTTTATACATAGATTAATTCCCTAGGATGTATAGCCGTGTGTGTATGTATCATCGGTTGTATTGCCGTGTATATCTTCGGATGTATGATTGTGTGTGTATAATTTTGGATGTATACTCAGTTATATATGTTCGGATGAATTGCTTGTAAATATACACAAGATAAGATCATCTAAGCGTATCTAAATGCACACACACACACACACACACACACACACACACACACACACACACACACACACACACACACACACACACACACACACACACACACACACACACACACACACACACACACACACACACACACACACACACACACACACACGCGCGTGTGTGTGTGTCACAAACATCTAAGAATAAGAGGTCATAGATTTAAACAAGCTAAACACAGATGCCGAAGAAATATAAGAAAATTCACTTTCGCAGAGTGGTAGACGGTTGGAACAAGTTAGGTGAGAAGGTGGTGGAGGCCAAGACCGTCAGTAGTTTCAAAGCGTTATATGACAAAGAGTGCTGGGAAGACGGGACACCACGAGCGTAGCTCTCATCCTGTAACTACACTTAGGTAATTACACACATACACCGCAGATATCCACCCTATAAAGCATGCAGATCCATCAGAATAACATTCACTCCCTCCCACACGGCCAATATTGTCAGTTACTCTCGATAAAAGCATCCTTAGCGTTCCCCGACCCCAATTTTGGCGGCTCTGAGGCCTTAAACAATCGTATACTGTGTCATTAATACCACTCTAGCATCCATTCCACCATGTCTAAAAGGGCGGTTCTCTCTCTCCCATCTCATGAGATTCCCATCCTTGTGGGCAACCAACAGTTGGCACCCCCAAAAGGATTGGCATACAAAATTAAGTTTAGAGGATTGGGGGGCGGGTGGGGGTGGGGGGTTGGGTTCTAGTTCAGCGTTATCTTGTCTTCGATTTTTGTAGAGGGGACTGGAGCCCCCACCCCCTTCCCCTTTCCCTTTCCGTAAAAGATTAACGACCGTGGGGTGGTTTGATAGTTACAAGGAGGCTGAGAATTGATGGTTGGATGAAATAGTTCTTTGATATTCTTTTCTGTTCTTTTTTTTTACTGTCCTTAAATCATTTATTTATTGCTCTCTCTCTCTCTCTCTCTCTCTCTCTCTCTCTCTCTCTCTCTCTCTCTCTCTCTCTCTCTCTCTCTCTCTCTCTCTCTCTCTCTCTCTCTCTCTCTCTCTCTCTCTCTCTCTCTCTCTCTCTCTCTCTCTCTCTCTCTCGTGGCACGTATTTACAACAAATCAACTAACAGCTATGAACGCTCATCAGGTCATCTGATATCTAACCTTTTAACTAATATATGTAATGAGCGTATTATTAGTTTAATGTTTGGAATAAACCTTAACGCTACGTTAGTCGTGTTGGGGGGAATTGACAAAGTAGATATCAAATCAGTGATCAAAGGGAGGAACAGTTGAACAAGATGGAATAATTGGAAATTGTAAACGGAGATGTCGTGACCACTGGAACAGTCTAAGATAGACATGTTGTCGAAGAAAGTTCGATTCACAGTTTTAAATGTGAATAAGATAAGGATAAGAAATAAGATAATAAAACATGGGGACGAGAGTTATTGCATCGAACTACTGATGATTGAAAGGCGGGGTTTAAGAGCAGAAGCTCAATCTTGCAAGCACTACTAGGTGAGTACATCATAGTGAGTATACACACACACACACACACACACACACACACACACACACACACACACACACACACACACACACACACACACACACACACACACACACACACACACACACACACACACACACACACACACACACACACAAATGAGCCACAGAGACATTAGAAAGAACTTTTTCAGTGTCAGAGTAGTTAGTAAATGGAATGCACTAGGCAGTGATGTGGTGGAGGCTGACTCCATACACAGTTTCAGGTGTAGATATGATAGAGCCCAGTAGGCTCAGGAATCTGTACACCTGTTGATTGACAGTTGAGAGGCGGGACCAAAGAGCCAAAGCTGAACCCCCGCAAGCACAAATAGGTGAGTACACACACACACACACACACACACACATGACCAAAGAGCCAGAGCTCAACCCCCGCAAGCACAATTAGGTGAGTACACACCCCATGACCGTTGACCAAGACTCATGAACTATTCAGGAACAATTGAACTGTCGAAGCTTATAATGGCTTATAAATAACCTTTGACCTCTGACGTTAACAGTCTCGTCATATTGCAGTAATTGCACAGAGGCTGGTATAGCGGCACTGCTAAGTATATTCCTTGCGTCTGCGTGTCCTCATATCTCCCAGGTATATGTTAGATACATATACCTCGCATATGTTTCCAGGAATTACGACTTGAGTGCATGAAGGGGCGTCCCGCTCCCCCCCACACCATTACTCCCCCCCCACAACATTACTCCCCCCCCCCCCCACAATTACTACCCCAACACCTACCAGCAACACCCTAGATGATTAGCCACCTTAAGACATCCTGTCGGAGGAACTTGATGGACAGGTGTAATTGACAGGGGGCTTGTGCCCGTCACTTCTGTCACTCAGGCTGTTTGTCCTGCTGCTTACAACCCTCCATCTCCTCGCCTCTCTCCTGTCCACCTGTCTCCCATCCCTTCCCTATTCCAGTCCCTCCCCCTTCCCTCCAAAGGTAAAGAAGATGTGGAAATGGACTGAAGAGAGATAGGGAATATTCACGAGAGAGAGACAGAGACAAGAGACAGAGAGACAGAGACAGACAGAGACAGACAGAGACACGACCACAGTAAGGGGGGAACCATTGAGCCAGCTGTACTAACTCTATCATTGTTTCCAGAGATCCCTGTGTCATCTATCACTCAAGCAGCCCCCACGCACCACCAGTGTGTGTGTGTGTGTGTGTGTGTGTGTGTGTGTGTGTGTGTGTGTGTGTGTGGGACATGGTTTTCCAGGACGAGATGCGGACGCAGATCAGATGTAGAGAGTCAATATGTTCCTGTCACGCGTCACCACCTTCTTTGTTCCAGGATTCCCCTGACGGAAGGGGGTGAGGGGAAGGGGGTGAGGGGAAGGGGGTGAGGGGAAGGGGGTGAGGGGAAGGGGGTGAGGGGAAGGGGGTGAGGAGAGGGGGGAGGGGGTAGAACACCATATCCAGTGCCTTAAAGCCACCCAACTATCGCCGTATTACTGGCTTAGCACTTTCTCCTCACAATTGTATTCTACCTGTCATAAAGCCATCCATTGGGTCGCCCAGCTCAGTCAAGCCTCCATAGAAGGTCTTCAACGGAGTACTTAACTAGAGTAAGGAGGAGCTGAAGAATAGCATTGCTATTAACGACCCTTTCTAAATATAACCAAGGACTCCAAGGGCCTTGTTTCGTTACCTTGACCTCCGTGGGCACATGCTCGTTAGTGTTCCACACCTTGATTGGCTTCATTTAGGCTAATACGCTGTTTTCGTTCCGATGTTCAGTCAAATCACATCTCACCTTCAAATCACCTGCCTTAGTTTTGAGGGCCTTGTGCAGAGTAGGCTTCACTAAGGCACATTGTGAGCCCATTAGTAAGACAACACAGTTCCTGGTGGCGTAGAGGTAACACATTCGTCCCCCGCCAGCGATTTGGTTTGGGTTCGAGTCCTGGGCCGTGAAGGATTCACTCTGCACCAATCTGTTACCGGTTCGGACATGTTCACCCCAGCAGTAATTAGGTACCTGATTTGGCTCGACAATTAAGTACCAAATAGCTAACAATTGGGTACTAAATAGCTAACAATTAGGTACCAATTAGCTAACAATTAGGTGCCAATTAGCTATGGGGAAGTGAAAACTCTCATAGGTGTTAGAAGTTTGTCTGTTCCTGTAACCACCTGTTTATATCAGGTAACGATTGTTTATATTGGGTCACTCTTGTTTACATCTAGTCATTGTCACTCTTGTATGACCTGCGTTGTTTATCATTGTTTACCATCTGATATAAGTAATCTTTAGGGGTCTTTATATTATAGTCTTGACCCCCAAGTCACAGAGTCGTCCAAGTATATTTTTATGAGCCACAGAGCCATCACCAGTTGAGTCACTGTCCTATAGAGTAACTCTACAACAAGGTCACCCGAGTATAACTGTGACACAGACAGAGTCTCTGTCTGTGACACAGACAGTGAATGACAGACAGTGAGTCTCTGTGACACAGACAGTGAACTATAACTCCACCTGACCACAGTTCTACCCATATACAGAAAATACCTTTATCAGTAAAGTCTCGTAGCCCCCCTCCCCTTCCTCTTCACACTTTTACCCCTTTCCCAGCCTCTCCCACTCCCCTTATTTTCCTTTGCTCTCTCCCATTGTGTCCCTAATCCCACCCCCCTCCTTGCCTCACCTCTCCCCCTCGCCTACTCTCCTTCTCCTTTCCCACTTCCTCTCCCACTTAATACAACTACCGACTGCACCAATCCTGAAAGTGTTCAGAGTGTAAATTTGGTGCATCAGGGAGGGGTGGAACAGAAGAGAGAGAGAGAGAGAGAGAGAGAGAGAGAGAGAGAGAGAGAGAGAGAGAGAGAGAGAGAGAGGGGGATCGAGGTGGCAGAGGTTAAAGAATGAGAAGTAGAGGTGAGAGAGAGAGAAGAAATGGTATGAGAAGTAAAGGTGAGGGGGGAGAGAGAGTGTGTGAGAGCAGTGGATAGTGGAGCCGACATTATTCAATACACATAAGGGAAGAGTTGTGTGGGGGCTTCAACAGATGAGATTAGTACGAGGGACGTGTGTTGGATGGGTTTGATGGTGGGTAGGTAAGGGCTAGGTGATCAATGGATAGAGAGAGAGAGAGAGAGAGAGAGAGAGAGAGAGAGAGAGAGAGAGAGAGAGAGAGAGAGAGAGAGAGAGAGAGAGAGAGAGAGAGAGAGAGAGAGAGAGAGAGAGAGAGAGAGAGAGAGAGAAACAGTCACAGAACCTTAACCTGAGCCAGTAGATGTGAATTTGGTGTATAAAAAAAAATAAGAGACCAGGCGAATACATTAACCGGAAAATTGGATGTGAAATTTGTCCTATAATTCGAACTACTGGCGGTGGGATCAATAGACGCTGGGATCGAACTTTGTATATGGTATCTGATGCTCTACCGTTGTCTTGATGCGAAAACCTCGTCATTCTGGACGATAGGATCACCTACAGCTCAATATTTACATCTGACTGTAAATACATTCTAGACACTTGAGTCGTTTGACTCTCCGGATGGGGGCATTCTCTCTCTCAACTCCCCTCTACGTTCTTTCCACTTTCTTTATTAGTTTGTAAGATATTCCTGTTCCCTTTTAACCTGTCTGCACCAATATCTCCCTGTCCCTCCCCTTTCCCATCACCACAATCACCACCTCCTCTTCCATTACCACCATCACTAGCTTCTGACCACCATTCTCACAAGACAGTTATTTAAAACCACCAACACCATTCTCAGACCAATATCAATCCTCCCCCTTCCCCCCCTACCCTACCCCCACCCCACTCCCCTCCAACTCCTCACTATCCCCCTCCTCTCTCTCCCCTCCCCTTCCATCCTGACCAGTTCCTACACCTTCCTGAATTTCTCTCACCCCCCAAAGTAATCGCGATTAAATTCCTTTTTACCGAGGCTGTTGCGAGATCCAAATTGGTTATACATGCATTAACGTCCCCACTTTGGATGTAAATGTTACCCCGTTTGAAATGCCGTCGATTCTACCCCCCCCCCCCCCCCCTTTTCCCTCCCCCACTTTGTTTTTTAGGCTTTTACAAAAACGTGAGAGAAAAATTTCCACAATTCTATCTTCTTTGGAATTTTCTATCCGGTTAAAGCTGTTCTTTGTTGTCGTCGACGGAGGAGGAAAGGGAGTAGGAGGAGGAGGAGAAGGGAAGGGAAGGGAAGGGAATTGAAGAAGAAACTGCCTGATGATTGACTGGGAAAGCATATATTTTTTATGTGAGTAGAGACTAAAAATATAGATTAACATTGGGTTAAAGTTTTGGTTTAATGGAGTAGGTTAATGCCGCCTTTTAACGGTTCCTTACGCCGTCTAGTTAAGTAGGCTCATAACGTCGGCTAGTTAACTACGTCGTGTAGTTAGTGGGTTCATTACGTCGTTTAGCGGAGTAGGCTACAACTAGAGTTTAAGGATGGAAGGGAAGGGGGGGAAGGGTTAGTTTTAAAGATTGATTCTGCCTGTAAATATAACTTCGTTCTTTTATGTAGGATTTTAGTGTGAGGGGAAAAATCGAATTATATACGGCCAGCTTGTCAGTAGAATGTGATAGTGAGAACACGGTACATAGAGAGAGAGAGAGAGAGAGAGAGAGAGAGAGAGAGAGAGAGAGAGAGAGAGAGAGAGAGAGAGAGAGAGAGAGAGAGAGAGAGAGAGAGAGAGAGAGAAGTCGAGGACGGCGCGTTGGTGAAGATACGAGTCTCGCTGCACACCAGGATAGCCTTAGAGACTCGGTAGAAACAAGGGAGTGAATCAGTTGCTCAAAGTCCCTTGTTGAAATGCCTCGTTACTGTTCATTGTACTGTCTTGAGTGTGTTTCCCCCCCCCCCTCTTCCCCCCCTCTTCCCTCCTCCCCCGCCTCGTCCCCCAGATCAAGCAAGTTTGGCAGATGTATAAGCAAGCTTATACCGCTTTGCAGAGCAGGTTTGGAAGTAGCCAAGCAAATATTCAGTGTAGCAGACAGGCAAATAGCCAGTGCAGCAGAGAGGCAAATAGCCAGTGCAGCAGACAGGCAAATAGCCAGTGCAGCAGACAGACAGGCAAATAGCCAGTGCAGCAGACAGCCAGGGCTTCAGCGACTAACGCTCACAAGAAAGGAAAAGGGAGCAGCTACGACGGCTCTCTTGCACAGTCTGGCGAACTGCACAGGACTTAATGTGACTCTTGCCGGGGGGGGGGGGAAGGGGGGAAGGGGGGAAAGAACATTTCCACGTCCGAGAGTGAGATGCTGGAGATGAGAAGAGCCGCGAGGGGCCGCCGCCAGGGGGCATGAAGATTATGTTTGACTGGAGTGAAATGCCTGATCAAGTTATGTTGGGGTGGCACTGTGCCAGGTTCAGAGCGTAGGGAGGAGGGGCAGGGCAAGGCAGTGGAGGGAGGTGGGGAAGGAGGGGTGAAAGGGGAAAGGTAGAGTGGAGGGTGGAAGAGGAGTGGGAAGGGAGGGAGGGGAAAGGCAGGGAAGGAGAGACGGAGGGAGATGGTGAACCTGAAGGGGGGGGGCCAGGTTTATCTGGTGGTAATTTGATCCGTTAGACTGTTGCATGCAGCGGTCCGCAGGCCACACACATCCGTAATAACCCGGCTGATCAGGGCACTTCCTGCTGAAACTTCCCTAATTACCACTTGAATACCTCCACTTTTGTTGTAGAGGGAAGACCTCTGATGTTCATACAGTGTTCTCTGATTTTCAAACAGTGTGTTCTGATGTTCATAGTGTTCTCTGATGTTCACACAGTGTTCTCTTATTGTGTTTATGTCTCCTGTAGCCTTTACTGGTACGTTACTACAGTTCCTACTATGTCTCTCATTCCAGTATGTTTTTGTGAGTGTGCATGTCTGGGACCTGGCCTTCCAGTACCTTCCATGCATATATTATGTGATGCCTCTCTCGTCTCCTTTTCCAGAATGTATATTTTGACAGCTCAGAGACAGACCCAAATAAGTGAGGTGCTCTACCTAGTCTGTGATAGGAGTATGTATGTGGTATGTGTTCATTCTACTTCAGCAATCTCTCTCTCTCTCTCTCTCCTGCTCTGAAAAGGGAAGTGAGTACCGAGCAGTACTCACGGTGGTACAGTACAATTGACTTGAAAAGCAGAAGGACTTTTGGTGGGTTCCCTGGATTTAAATGCTCTCAGTAACCCATCTTATCCCAGTCTTGGCTGATGCTATATTTACTGGGTTATATAATCGTTAAATGTTAGGTCATTCGTGACTTAATCGTAGATCACTTTTTTCATGTTTTCTTTTAAGGAGAAGGGGATTCTTGTCTTGTGTTTTGTATTATTTGTTTTTATATTTAGGTATATGGAATTTATCACTGTTGAAAATCTGGTTAGATTCTGTGGAGGTATTGTTGGTGGTGGTGGTTGTGGTTGTGGTTGTGGTTGTGGTTGTGGTTGTGGTGGGTTGTTGTCATGTTGTTAAGAGTGGCCAGCGGTGAAGGTAGTTTTTTTATTATTATTATTTTCTACCACAGACGTGGCCACACATTTACAATACTAACCGGCATATATACATTTTCTTCTGTCCTCCATGGACAGGGTTAGAGAAGTGAAGGTAGTGAAAGCTATTGCCGTGATGTTGCCACTGGAAGTTTCTGGAAAGCCGGGTAGGAGGGAGGGGGGTGAGTTAGCGCAATTGGGAATGCAGAAACGATTGAAGCGAACATTGCTGACGGCTTTTTTTCCAGATTCAACTCCAGATTTTAAGTTTAGTTTTAGACGAAGTTTCAGATTCTGATTAAATTTCAGATTAAGTTTTCAAGTTTCAAGTTCTTTGTCCTCCCTCCCCGGGAGATCTTATAGAGGCAAGTCTCCCCGTAACTTAGACCACCAGCACCCACAATTCCACCAAGAAAAAGGTATTCGGAAGTGCATCTGACATCCCTCCTCTCCCTCTCTCGTTGCTCTTTCCTCTCTTCCAGCTCTTACTGCCTCTCACCGGGTCGCCCCACACCTGTTACACCCCCCACACACCTGGTACACCTCCTCCCACACCTGGTACACCTCCCACACCTGGTACACCTTCTCCCACACCTGGTACACCCCCTCCCACACCTGGTACACCCCCTCCCACACCTGGTACACCCACTTCCCCCGTACTTCCCTTCCTCATCCTGATCCAAAATCCCTGAAGACAGTAGGTTTGAATATGTAGGGAAACCTGAGACTACTCTGGCCCCTGGGGATACCATAAGGAAGTCCTGCCATGAGAGAGAGAGAGAGAGAGAGAGAGAGAGAGAGAGAGAGAGAGAGAGAGAGAGAGAGAGAGAGAGAGAGAGAGAGAGAGAGAGAGAGAGAGAGAGAGCTCTCTTTCCTCTTCTCCCTCTCTATTCCTCCCTACCTGAGCACCCCTTTTCTCCTTTTACTCTGATCACAATCACACGCCTGTGCAAATTCCTTTCATGTTTTGGTCCCGTAATTAAAACCCCTTCACCGCCTCCTTCTACCTCGGCCATCATCACCACCATCATCACCACCATCACCACCACCACCACCACCACCACCACCACCACCACCACCACCACCACCACCACCACCACCACCACCACCACCACCACCACCACCACCACCACCACCACCACCACCACCACCACCACCACCACCATCAACCATGACCCGGGGGGGAAACTGGGATACAGACAAGGACAATGGTTGTCATATTCTCCCTTCTGGATGAAAGGGAGCCGGGAGCGGATAGTTGCAGCAGATCACAGTGTGTGTGTGTGTGACAATATGTGCCTGAGTTTGCGTGTGGGCAAGTGCGTTTATGAGTTTGCGTGCGCGAGTTTTTGTGTCATAAAGCTTTCTACAACACCCTGTAGCTCTTCCCATCATCCTGGGATTCTTCTCAACATCCTGGAACTCTCCTCAACACCCTGGAACTCTCCCCAACATCCTGGAACTCTCCTCAACATCCTGGAACTCTCCCCAACATCCTGGAACTCTCACCAACATCCTGGAACTCTCCCCAACATCCTGGAACTCTCCCCAACATCCTGGAACTCTCACCAACATCCTGAAACTCTCCTCAACACCCTGGAACTCTCCCCAACATCCTGAAACACTCCTCAACATCCTGGAACTCTCCCCAACATCCTGGAACTCTCCCCAACATCCTGGAACTCTCCCCAACATCCTGGAACTCTCCTCAACATCCTGGAACTCTCCTCAACATCCTGGAACTCTCCTCAACATCCTGGAACTCTCCCCAACATCCTGGAACTCTCCCCAACATCCTGGAACTCCTCAACATCCTGGAACTCTCCTTAACATCCTGGAACTCTCCCTCAACATCCTGGAACTCTTCTCAACATCCTGGAACTCTCCCTCAACATCCTGGAACTCTCCTCAACATCCTGGAACTCTCCCCAACATCCTGGAACTCTCCCCAACATACTGGAACTCTCCCCAACATCCTGGAACTCTCACCAACATCCTGGAACTCTCCTCAACATCCTGGAACTCTCCCCAATATCCTGGAACTCTCCTTAACATCCTGGAACTCTCCCCCAACATCCTGGAACTCTCCCCAACATCCTGGAACTCTCCCCAACATCCTGGAACTCTCCCCAACATCCTGGAACTCTCCCCAACATCCTGGAACTCTCCTCAACATCCTGGAACTCTCCAAAACATCCTGAAACTCTCCCCCAATATGGTCTTAGTTACCCCCAACTTGTACAGTGGGAGGAGCTCATTACTTCCAATGCCGCGAACATTACCTCCCAATTACAATGTTTCTCCAAGCGCACCTCCTCATTTGGCCTCGAGTTTGGTAGTTTTAGGTCATCCCAACACCGGTTACACCCTTCTGGCACCACCAACACCAGGGTGATCACAGTGCTAGGGTGTTAGAGGCTAGTCTCAGGGTAGATGTAACCAGGTAGACGCCCTTGTTAACCATCCAAGGAGGCGGATGGTCACGTGACAATTACCATAGTGACGCTTTGGAAATAATTAAAATACTATTAAACCTAAAACGTCGCCACAATGTGTATTCAAACGTTAACACAACATTTCTTAAAACGTCGACACAACATTTTTTCAAACGTTGACACAACATTTCTTCAAACGTTGCCGCAACATTTCTTAAAACGTGTCCACAACATTACCCCTGGAGTGCCTTGGGGGTCAGTCACATCTCGTAGGACGTTATGAGGGAGGCCCGTGGTGCCAGATGAGGCAGGGTCGTCTCATAGCACCATCAGACGGTGAGTGTCATGGCACTGCAGTTAGAACCTCTCAATGGTTCACACACACACATCAGATGGTTGAGAGGCGGGACCAAAGAGTCGAAGCTCAACCCTCCCCCCCTCTCAAGGGTCGACCTGTGGCCCGTGTGCTAGAGAGACATATGCACCCAGCATGAGGGGGGGGGGGGGGGGAGGGGGGAGTGGGGGAGTGGTCTACACTCCCTAATGCATCAACATTTGCCAGACAGCACAGGGGGATGTGTCATCGTCACCTCACAAAGAAGGAAATATGACCAGGGGATCTAGCTCCCGGGCCGTCAGAGGCAGGGAGGCTGTGGGGGTGTGATGTGGGAGCTGTACGTGCTCTGTGTGGGGGTCCTGGGTTGTGTAGGGGGGCACTGGTGCCAGCATCAGGGGGGGGGGGCACTAGTGGCACTCCTCGCTACACAAAGAACAAACTGCCTATCGGTCTACAACCCGCCATTTGCATTCTCAAAATTCTACAACTTTCCTGGGAATTGGGCGAGGATGGAGAGGCTGCATCTCCTTCATCTCCCTCTGGTGCTTGGCGGAGTGTGTTGGGGATGTTGGTGAAGCCGTAGTACTCCGTCTCTTCCCCACTCCCTCACTCCCTCCCACACGCCCTCTCCCAAAAACCTCCCTCACTCCCCAAGTCCCCCCTCTACTCCCATCTGCTTCTTCCCATCCCATCATCTATCTCTTTCTTTGCCACCTTTCACATCTCTCATCTCCCCTTCACACCCCCTCCCCCCTTTACCCAAGCACTGCTTAAAAATGCAATTTACATACATTATCTGTGAAAGTTGCGGGCGACCAACCTAACCAACATATAGGCGAAACCCACAAAGATTACCAGCCCCATCCTCTCTATGACACTGTGGTTGACACTGGTTGATGGGGGTGGGGTGGGGGGGAGACTGGTTGACGGGGCAGGGAAGACCCAAGTTGATGGGGAAACTGGTTGATGGGGTGGACACTAGTTAACGAGAGGAATGGTGTAATACTCGGTTGCTGGTTGTTGTCAGGGATGGTTGTGTTAGGTGGCTGTTTGACTTCAACACTGTTGTATGCAAGGGTACTGGGGGGAACGGGGACTGGGAGAGGGGGAAGTAGGGGTTGAGAAGCGTGGAAAGGGAAGAGAGGTTTTTTAAGGAAAGTTTTAGGGGCGTATAATTGCTACATATATTGGTTAAAAAACACATGAATTGAGATTTATGAAGATGAGAAACTTTTACATCTTCTGGCGAGGAGCTAAAGTAGTAATGAGTTTAAAAATGGGAAGTATAGTGTGAGTTATGATAGCAGGCGGGCTGTCCGCCTTGCTGACACGATGTTACGATATCAGGCGGGCTGTCCGCCTTGCTGACACCATGTTTATGATAGCAGGCGGGCTGTCCGCCTTGCTGACACCATGTTATGATAGCAGGCGGGCTGTCCGCCTTGCTGACACCATGTTATGATAGCAGGCGGGCTGTCCGCCTTGCTGACACCATGTTATGATAGCAGGCGGGCTGTCCGCCTTGCTGACACCATGTTATGATAGCAGGCGGGCTGTCCGCCTTGCTGACACCATGTTTATGATAGCAGGCGGGCTGTCCGCCTTGCTGACACCATGTTATGATAGCAGGCGGACCTTGCAGCCCGATGCAGTGTCTGAGTGCGTGTATTTCGTCCATACATATCAATATAAGTGGGTATCAATAGATGACTACTGGGCCGCATTCACATATACACACCTGGGTACTGGTGTGCATATTTTCGTGTTATGTTTATGGACCATTTTTAAGGGCAAACGTGGGCCATTTTTAAGGGCAAACGTGAACCATTTTTAAGGGCAAACGTGAACCATTTTTAAGGGCACACGTGGGCCATTTTTAAGGGCAAACGTGGACCATTTTTAAGGGCAAACGTGGGCCATTTTTAAGGGCAAACGTGGACCATTTTTAAGGGCAAACGTGGGCCATTTTTAAGGGCAAACGTGGACCATTTTTAAGGGCAAACGTGGGCCATTTTTAAGGGCAAACGTGGACCATTTTTAAGGGCAAACGTGGGCCATTTTTAAGGGCAAACGTGAACCATTTTTAAGGGCAAACGTGGGCCATTTTTAAGGGCAAACGTGAACCATTTTTAAGGGCAAACGTGGGCCATTTTTAGGGGCAAACGTGAACCATTTTTAAGGGCAAACGTGGACCATTTTTAAGGGCAAACGTGGACCATTTTTAAGGGCAAACGTGAGCCATTTTTAAGGGCAAACGTGGGCCATTTTTAAGAGCTAACGTGGGCCATTTTTAAGGGCAAACGTGGACCATTTTTAAGGGCAAGCGTTTGCCCATAGTGAGTATGAGTGTGTGAGTGTGCCTGGGGTGAGTCTGGCCGGCACACTCACCCCAGGGCGAGGAACAACAGCCCAGTAATAAAAATTGTGATTTATTGGTTGTATTGGGAAGAGTAAAGGTGCCAAGATTGGTTGAGAAAATTGTCAGAGCGCACGATGTGAAGGGGGTGGGTCTTGGTGGGGAAGGGGTGGGTCTTGGTGGAGAAGGGGTGGGCCTTGGTGGGGAAGGGGTGGGCCTTGGTGGGGAAGGGGTGGGTCTTGGTGGGGAAGGGGTGGGTCTTGGTGGAGAAGGGGTGGGCCTTGGTGGGGAAGGAGTGGGGTCTCGGTGGGGAAGGAGTGGGGTCTCGGTGGGGAAGGGGTGGGCCTTGGTGGGGAAGGGATGGGCCTTGGTGGGCAAGGGGTGGGTCTTGGTGGGGAAGGAGTGGGGTCTCGGTGGGGAAGGGGTGGGCCTTGGTGGGGAAGGGATGGGCCTTGGTGGGGAAGGAGTGGGGTCTCGGTGGGGAAGGGGTGGGTCTTGGTGGGGAAGGGGTGGGCCTTGGTGGGCAAGGGGTGGGTCTTGGTGGGGAAGGAGTGGGGTCTCGGTGGGGAAGGGGTGGGCCTTGGTGGGGAAGGGATGGGCCTTGGTGGGGAAGGGGTGGGTCTTGGTGGGGAAGGGGGTGGGTGGAGGCCGGGGTGGGTAGGATGTAGGCTGGGAAAGAATGGGTTTATGCTTACAATGGAAAGGGTGAGTGTGGGCGGAGCAGGTATGGAAGAAAGGGGAAAAGGAATGGGTGGGGTTAGGCCTGGAAGGGGTGATGGGAAGGGTGTGTGTAGAGGTTTTGATGATTTCAACGCTATGCCACCGTCACCATTAGTCCATTATCCACACTCATTGTCACCATGATTAAACTACGCCGCACTGCGTAAGAGGCCGCCATATATATAGTGAAGTTCCCGCTCAGCGCTGGGACCTGATTCACTATTTTCAACCTTATAACTTGGAAGGTTGCAGTCTGTCACTAGATACATAATTATATTCGTATTGATGCAACAAGAAAACTACGAAGAGTCACGTTAGGATATCGTAGACATTTATTTACGTTATCGTAGCGAAAAAGATGTAGTTAGAGAGAGATGATTCATGTGGCTGAATATTATGATTGGTGGCCCTCGAGGTAGTCTGATGGCTCTGGGGGTGAGTTACAGCCATGCAGATTGCCAGTAATAACAGGCTGTGTGGTCCGAGACCTTGGGTGTGTCATGTGAAATAGGGTCACGGAAAGAGGTAGGCTATGATTGGACAGCGCTTGGAGTGTCACAGATTTAAAGGCTGTGATTGGTCGGTTCTAGAAGGGACTCGAATGCTAGGAAGGCTGGGAGTGGGGTAGTGCCAACAGTGTGCCAGACGTGACCTTGGCCATGATTGGCCAGTGCCAAGAGAGTGCCACGGGCTCAAGGGGGCACCAGTCCTGACCTCTAATGGCCCTCAGTCTGGACTCTATCTTCACTGGCGTCCAAAATAAGGTGCTTTTGTGGAATTAATTCCAACTCAGTTTGTACGCGTTCTCGATCTAATGAACATCGTCTATAACCTATACTAGAGACCACACTACAAGAACATGATATTACACGCTAGAGAACACTGTACAAGAACACAATAGAAACATACTAGAGAACACTGAACAAGAACACAAGAGAAGCATACTAGAGAACACAGCACAAGAACACAAGGCCTCAACATACCAGAGAACAGAAGAATGAGTCGTAAAGTAGGGCTCTTAAAGCAACTTGTGCCTGGATATCAGATGTAAGAATTTCTTGGAAACCATTTTTTCTCTTCCTACCAGGATTCCAAGTCATTTTTCGACAAGGTACGGGCCTCAAATCTTCATCTTGAGGGGATTTCAACGAGTCTCTGCATGTAAATTCGGCCATATTTTTCACCCAAAGACATAAGTTATCCCTTTTATGGAAGTTTCACTTTTTTGGGGGGGAGGGAGGCGGGGGGGGTGGGGGGAGGGATGGTTCTGTGATTAAGGAAACTGTTCCATAATTCTTGTAAGATGTCTCTTGGGTAAAGGGTGAGTGTGGACCTTCCGTGAAGAAGAATGAGGGATGTAATTTGCATGAGTAACTTTATAGTGGTTTCCAGAGAAGATATCATTTCACCATCTTTGTCACCATCATATTATGGTAAGTATAGTGTGCTATAATAGCAGGCAGGCTGTCCGCCTTGCTGACACCATGTGCATGATAGCAGGCGGGCTGTCCGCCTTGCTGACACCATGTTTATGATAGCAGGTGGGC